CATATATATAAATACACACATATATATATAATTATATATATACAAATATATATATTCACATTTGTGAATATGTTGGTGTATGCATCAGATGCTAACCGTAGATGATTTCCCCACAAGTGTTTATTAATATCCCAGCTATTCAGTATTTTCTCAGATGCATTTCCAATACAATGATTTTGCGTAAGGAAAAGGCGATACGAAAAATATATAAATACAAGTATATGCAAAAGGTGCCAATTTGATAAGCATGGTTACCATTTCTTCAGCGGTCGTATGTACCAACACAAACCTAAATCTTATCACTTACATGAAATCTAAACATATGCCGGACGCTAATTTGAACGAGAATGCCTACCATTTCTCCACAGGTGGTGATTCCCAAGCCGTTAAGAATCTGCTCAGATACCTTCCCAATTCCACTGATCTTGCGTATGGGTAGGGGCTGTAGGAAGGCCAGGATAGCTTCGCGCGTTCTGTGGAGCGAGTACTGCCCATTCGGCTTGTTGAGATCTGAACACACTTTGGATAACATCCGATTGGCTGTGATGCCTGCAGAGCACGTGATCTATCACGCCGAATTGGAAACGAATGTCAGGTATTTGCGTTCAGCACAGACACATACAGGGTCGATATTTGACCGCTTTGGAACTTCGTGCAAGTACGTATTGTGCATTCGGCGTGTGGAGATCTGATCACACTTTGCATAGCGACACTATTGGCTGCGTTATTGGAATGAGTTCGTGAGTTTGAGAACCCAAATTCAAACAATATAAACACCTTTTTTGGCAGGAAGTTTCAAGAAGTGACGAGATTATTAGAATAAAAACATATGTGGTGCCTGGTAGGTGAGTAGGGTAGTGGGGATGAGTACTGACCATTCGGGGTTTTTTTTCTGAGATGGGAATTATCCTCTATGGATCCTCACGGACAGAAGAGATACATACGTGAATTTTTATCAACAATTTATCACGCCCACATACTCCGGTAGTGGTGAATACCTCCTGTCGCATCTTCGCGACAACTTCTTCGGCAGTAGTACACTCTCCTTGCAGATTCAGAATGTGCAGGTGATCTGTGATGTCGATGTATGCTTCATCGAGCCCCACAGACGAGAATTCGGGATCATACCGAGCAAATATCTCGCGCGTCTGGTTGCTTATCTACAGTCAAAAATTTATTGGCGAGATTTATTAAATATGAATAAATACAGTATGCGATAAGTAGACGGCGGTATACGAATGTATATGGTTTGGCACTACAAAACTATTTGTACTTGATAGTAATGCCATATCATATACAAACTTCAAGCACACCTCAATACATGAACAGGGCAAGACAGAATCAACCTCCGTCGTTGTTTCAAGCGAGGCCTCACACAAGTGCAGGTACGAACGCACTCGTAGTACAATTCAACCACAAGCGAATACAAATGGTACGATGATTTTGATCCTCGTATATTACACTTAGTGAATATAGATTTCCAACAACACTCGGCAATGTAATTGGGTACACGAGTCACAAATGTCTTCTTCACGTCATGATGCACAGAACGAATCACCCGTCAAAGCCTGGTTATTCGTAGAACCTGTTTCAGCATCACCTGATTAGAGTATAGTTGAACAGGATAACATTCAAAGCGGGAGCCTGAAGGTGCATGTAGTGACAGTTAGTATACGTAACAGGCCACAATTCACTACCACAGCCACCATTCCTCCAATAGAGATACATCTGATATGCCTTCCGCCGACACCCATTTAAATAACCTCCGATACAAACATCTACATATAAATATATATATACACATAAACATACACATACACATACACCCACCCACCCACCCACCCACCCACACACACACATTT